TATATATATATATATATATAATAATATTATGCATTTTTTCGTCAATAAATACCAATTGTTAGAACAAGAGACAAACCCAAACTTGATTTAAGGAAAAAAAAATTTCTAACGGTGAGCAAGTGTATTTTAACTTTTTAAAAACACTTATGTGTTGTGTCCCTAATTACAATAGTAAACAAATTATTTTTAATAACTCCTAAATTTTTTAAAAATAAAGCAAATGAACTAACAATAAACGAAAATAATTAACCAACATAAAATCGGATATTCCAGATCCGAGGAAGAGGAAGATAATGATTACTTTGTTGATGATGCTCGTGATCTTCAAAAGGATTGTGAGGATGGAAAGGGTGATGAGGAGGTGGCGAATTCTTTTAATGTGGATAACACTCCAAATTTAGTCGATAGAGGAGCGAGTTTTGTAGATAGAAAATGTCGGTTTTTTCAAACTAAGGTGGATAGATGTTCTGAAGATGGTGGGGGCAAAATGTTGAGTAGGATACACCAACCCCGGTTGGTTCCCCGCGGCAGTCGTCGGTTAGGCCCGTGAGGGCTACGTCGCCAGCTGAGGTGGAAGTCCGACATGGTGGAGTAGTAGAGGATGGGGCTTCGGCTTCGTTGTCACAACCTCCGGTTTCCAGCGTGAGCAGCTACATGGGAATCTTAATGGTAATGCTCCGGCTTCGAGATCTTTTGGTTCACATGTTTCTTCTAAGTTGTTAAAGAAGAAAGTTCAGACGGTAGTAGATGATATTGAGGATGTCTTGAAGCAGTATTTTGAAATTGGTGATCTTCTTGGTTATGATATGGAATCTCATAAGGATAAGGTTACTAAAATTTTGTCCAACATTGGTGTGGTATAGGTGGATAGATGAATTGTCTTTCCTTGAATATTTGTGGTACCCGAACTTCATTAAAAGGAGTTGGGTAAATTCGTTGTATATCCATAATGGGGTGTCATTTTTAGGGTTATAGGAGACTAGAATGACACAAATTGACTTGTTCAAAGTTAGGAGTATGTGGGGCAATTCATGTTTTGATTTTGCGTGTAGTTGTGCTCGGGGTCTCTCAGGGGGTATCCTTTCTGTTTGGGATCCTAATGTTTTTGTGACAAGCAGTGTTCACTGTACGGATAACGTGGTGATAGTTGGAGGAGTTTGGGTGCCTTTTATTTTTCCTTGTTACATGGTTAATATTTATGCTCCGCAAAGAGTCGGGGAGAAACATGACCTGTGGCAGTATCTTTCGGAATTCAAAAGGAGGAATGGGGGGAATTTCGTCTTTTTTGGTGACTTTAATGTTGTCAGGGAGGCGTCTGGAAGAATGGGTTCGGTTTTTTGTCCTACTTCGGCTGCTTCTTTTAATGAATTTATTGATGATTTGGGTCTTATAGATGTGCCTATGATTGCGAAGCATTTTACTATAACTGATGCAATTGGTTCCAAGTTAAGTAAGTTGGATAGGTTTTTGATGGATGAAGATTTTTATGATAAATTTGACCACCTTCAGGTTTCAGTTCTTGATAGAAGGTGGTCTAATCATTGTCCTATTTTCTTTCATGTGTCTTTGGTGGATTATTGTGACATCCCCATTTTTCTCGGCCAGAAAAGACCGATTTCGTTTATGCTTTTTAAATTAAAATCAGAGTAATCTTTCAAAAGGTGTTGCGGAATTTGTCCCAAAAAAAATATGATAAAAATTTATCAAAACATTTCTTAAAAAAATGTATTTTCATTGTATTATAAAACCTTGGGATGTCATGTTCCGATACAGATCAAAAGCATAAACAGTACAATATAGGCCTTACAACATTTATTTATATCTACTGGCCTATAATCCAAAATCCCCCGTCATCGGCCAACTATGTTCTTGTTCCACTACCTGTAATATAGAAAACTGAGTGGGTCAGGCTTGGGAGCCTGGTGAGCATATAGGGTTTTCAACCCACAAATAATAAATTTATTAATTTCATCAACCAAAAATAACCCTGATTACCCGTTCCCGTATTCCTCACTTTACGTCCCTAAAGTATCTATTTATAGGGGACCTAGTCTAAAGATTTTCATCGGGGCGACAACAATGCTTCGGGGGTTCCTCAGCAATTTATGTCAAATAAGGCAACCAATGGGGTGACAACATTGCTTTCCTCTGCAATTTATGTCAAGTAAGGCAAACATCGGGGTGACAACACTGCTTTTCCTCAGCAATTTATGTCAAATAGGCACGCAGTCACATCGTCGCCAAGGTTTATACAACAGACACTAAGTCCATAGCTGCCAAGGTACTAAATCCATAGC